GTCAGGGAGAAAATCCGGGGGACTTTGCCCCACTGCAGCTTCTCCTGTTCTCCTCAACACCCAGCCTGACGCAGGGGCTTCCCGAATGCCTGGTCCTGAGGTCCTGTTTGCCCCATGCGAGGGCTTCATGTGCTCTTGGGCATCACCAGGGCTGCTCTTACATGGGAGCAGCCACGTTTCCTCATCTTTTATTGCCCACATCCTCCTCCCTGCAATGTCACAGCTGCCCTGGAACAATGGGACACCCCCATTCCGAGGTTCTCGGCAGCCAAGGATGGTTTTTAGGTGGTGTATTGTATTTATTAAATCCAACTGCTTTTGACTGATGTCTCCTGGTCTGGTTTCACCCCCTCCCCTGCCCTCCACTCAGCTGCAGCTTAAGCAATGAGCCATTGGGTTCCACACAGCCCCAATGGCAGTGACCCCCCCGTGATGAAACCCTCACCCTGTCCCTTGTGAGCTGCTGGTCTTTGTGCCCTGGCCTCTTTCCTGCTCCTATTCCCAACCTCAGGGGAGTTCTGGGACAAGCAAACAATGGGAACATGCCCCAGCTCTGCTTTGGAAAGCATCCCAAGGCTGTTGGCTTAGTAACAACCACTCCACATGTGTCCCAGGCTTAATAACACCCTCTCCGTGTTTATCCCAGGCCTGGAGATTCTCACTGGAGTAATTCCTGTTATTAAAACGTGGTGCAGTGTTTCCAGCACTCTCTGGGCTCGGGGAGGGGGAGATAAAACAGCAAAGGGAAAACAAAACCCAGCTCGATGTGGCAAGAGCTGGAACGTTCCCTCAATGGTTGCAGTGGGATGCTCCTGACGACGTGATTTAATATCCAGCAATCCCAACTCGCCGGTTTTCCATCGTCTCCAAGCACGTAATTGCTGAAGACACCAGCACAGTGCAGCAATTCCCAGTTCCCAAGGCACAAAGTAGCCTTTTCAGGTTGGGGAGCTGGAAATACTGGGAGCAAATACTAGGAATCAAGGACTGGAATGGTCTTCTTGACCCCTTGGTTCTGTTTCTGCCCACAGGACCTTGTCCTCCTCATGATCTGATGAAGCTCCTGAAGGGCTGCTCTAGACCCTTATGGCTTCTAATGCCCAAATTTGGGGAGGTTCTGCTCTGGTTGTCTCCATTTCAGCTGTGGGGAGCTTTGGACAAGGGATGCAGGGACAGGACAAGAGGGAATGGCTTTAACCTGCCAGAGGGAGACTGAGCTGGGATCCTGGGAAGTTCTTCCCCATGAGGGTGCTGGGACACTGGGATGGGTTGAATGGAGAAGCTGTGGCTGCCCCATCCCTGGCAGTGTCCAAGCCCAGGTTGGACACGGGCTTGGAGCAACCTGCTCCAGTGGAAGGTGTCCCTGCCCGGGGCAGGGGTTGGAGCTGGAGGAGCTTTAAGGTCCCTCCAACCCATCCTACGAGTCCATGACAAGACTTGCAGAGCACCAGGTAACCCCCAGTGAATCCAGGCCATAAACACCCCTCAGCATCCCACCAGGGCCACCAGCATGGAAAGAAAGCTTAGAGAGACCCTAAACCTTCTGGGTTACCCATGAGCGGAGTGAGCTGCCCCCATGTCCCTATCACTTCCATTGGAAGCGGCCACAGTCCAAGCTGCTCTTTGGCGAGAACAAACCAATGGGACAGAGCCCAAAGAGCCCCTGGTTAAATTATAACCTTTGGACTCAACATCCAGGAGGTGTTTCAGGTTCTCCATTGCTGAGACCCTGATTGAAAAGCTTCTGCTTACTCGATCCTCAGCTTCATCCCCCTCCCCACCAGAGCTTACCAGGATGGAAGAGGAACATCTGCATGATGATCTGCAGGCTTTTAAAGGTAACCGTCAGCCTCGAGGAGGGGGGCAGGAGCAATGGGGGAACACGTAGCATGGTCTTGCACCACCAACATGGTTTCTGAGGGAGAAGAAGGTCTGAGCCCTCTTTCCTCCTCCTTTTGGGCACTTTATGGGGTTGATTGGGATGGGGACCCCCCACCCTCATGAGCTCAGATGGAAATGAGGGAAAGGGACATTGCTGCAGGTGTGAGACATCACGTACATGAAGGGCTGGTGGTGGTGCCCAACCAGCAACACCTGAGTGGGTTCAGTGTCCTGGACCACAGGGAAATCTGGCTCTTCCTGCAGCTTTCCCAAATGGAGCTCCCAAAACTGGAATCTTGGAGCCTATTTCCATCATTCAACCCCCTCCAACACGGGCAGCAGCTGCCAGCTCCAGCCAGCAAAGACATTCCAGACCACGGATGGCCGCTCGGGGAACAATTTCCTGGCTGAAAAGGGGGTTATTAGGCACCAGGAGGGTTTCAAACTACGTCCCAGCCCCAAATCCATGGCTTAAGATCATCATTTCTTCTTATTTTGGCTTCTGTAGCAAATCATTGACCATTGCAGGTTATTTATTAACCCTTCTCTAAATGGACCAGAAGAGCACTGCAGAAATCCCGCTGGTCCCAGGAGGATATTTTGCCATCCCGATGCTTTTGTTTTAAAGACAGAAACTTCTTCAGGCTGAAGCTGAGGCCCTTTGTCACCATCTACTTGCTGCTGGCCCTCTCCTTCCTGCTCACCTTCACCCTCTTTGCCGTGTCGCTCTCCAGAGGTACTGGAACACCTTGGAGCTGGTGCATCGGGCACATAGAACCTGAGGTGCTTGTTCGGCCTCCGGGTCACAACCCAGCCCATGACCCAGCGTTTCTCCTTCTCTCCCAATAGTTTCAGCCATTTCTTCCAAGCTCCAGGAGGTGCCCCCGGAGCAGAGACGCAACGTTTCGGGCAGGGATTTCCTCTGTAAGTCCTGGTTTCCCCCCAGCCCCATGAGCTTTTCCTCCCCTCGGAAGCTCCCCTGTGTTGTCCCCAGTGTCCCTGCCCCGGATGGCTTCGCTGGGGTGGTGCAGGGCATCATCCCCCTCCGGGTTTGCTGCTCTGCCAGCCACAAGCAC